ACATCGTCATCATCATCATCATCACCATCACTAGTACCGGTCATGAGCCAGTAAGGGAGAGAAGGTTTTCTGTTTTGGGCATCAGCGGCTGAAAGAGGAGGATCGTCGAGCTGTCCAGAGGAGTGACTGGTTGGGTTTTCAGAGGAGCTCCATTTTCTGGGTTTCATCGTCGTAGGTAATTTGCTGAACAGAGGGATTTTTGGGAAGGGTAGTGAGGGAGACGAATGGAGCTTGATCCCGTGGGTGTGGGATCCCTCCTTCTGATCTTGAATCTATCTTCTCCAAAAAACTTCTGCCTTGTTTGCTTTAATTTCTTTAGATTTTGATGTATTGGAACTGTATTAGATGATGATATGATATGGTGAATAAAAACCAAGCATGTTCTGTTGAATTTCGTGGATTTGAACTGGATGATGTTTATTTGTTTTTCCTTTTGTCTGTGTTTCTTTTTGTTTCTGTCCAGATTTCATTTCTGTCTAGACTTTAATCCGTTTTTGCCTATTTTTGGTTGACGGTTTGTGTTTTTGGGCCAGAACAACTTGGCTCAATCCAATAGATTCAAAAAAAAAAAAAAAGTAGAAAACAAAAAACTTAAAAAACCTAATTAGTCTAATGTTTGATTAATGAAGTTAATTAATTTTAATCAGAGTAAATTAATTATGTTTATTGGTCCTAATTTGACGTAATATTGAATTAATCATTCAATTAAACTAATTATCATCATAATTAATTAATTTCAATCCTCTATTTTCTTTTTATTTCAATTTCACCCAAAACTTTCATGATTAAGCAATTTAGTCTACAAAAATTTTAAATCATTTTTTAGTAACTTTGATGTTCAGTATGCTCTAGTTTTCTGTTTTGGTACTAGGAGTGATGTGTGTATGATACGTTAATGGCTAGCTCTAAAATACACTGTGGGGAACTTTAAAGTTTCATGTTCTTGCGGTCTCTGTTACTGCATCATTCTTTATGAAATTCATTGTATTTTATTTCCCCATATGGTTCCAATTTTGAAATTCCTTGTACCAGTGTCCATGGCAAGACCTAACTAAGACTTTGTTTGAATTGTTGATAATAATTAGTTGAAAGAGTGATAAGTGGTTAACTCAGTGGCAATGAGTGGCAGTAGCCTGAAGAGTCTGTTGACTGCAGCAGTGAGGACAGGGGTTGCTGAAGCTAGAGCAAGAATATTTGGTCATATACTTAACCCAACTGGGCAGAGAACGTCCCATAAGGTTTTACGTAAGAAGCTTATTGGTACTAAAGTTGCACAATGGTACCCCTATGAAATCCAGAAGGAAGACCCCCTTGTCATGGCCCAACAAGAACAAGCGCGTTTATCCAAGCTTGAAATGTTGAAGAGGCGTGGTAAGGGACCACCAAAGAAGGGCCAAGGAAAGCGTGCTGCTAAGCGCAACAAATAGAGGTAATCGTGTCAAATGGTCTTGAACTACCATGTTTTGAAAAGCCTCAACCTTTTCTTTTTCAATCATTTTTTGAATCTCTTATGAAATTTTAACTTCTGAACTCATTGTGTTGCATTTGCATTTTGCAATTAGACAAAAGAATTTGTTTTTAATGAAAATTCTATTAGGTAAATCTTTAGCTGGAATGCCTATTCCTTTCTGGAAATAAATGTTACCAGGTTACAGTCATTTTCCTATGAAGACTCTTGGGATACTGTGCACAGCATTATTGGTGCTGGACCTTTAACTATTCCCTTTTCTTTTTTTTTTTTGTGAAAAATGGATAAATGTAAACCATTAAACATACATTTTCTGCTTCTTATTTGAGCTTTTACTCCTCTAATTTAATTAAACAAACCATTAACATATGTTGTCTGCTTCTTATTCGAGCTTTTCCTCCACTATTTTAGTTAAACTTTTTGAGCCTGGTGCTTATTGGGGGTAAAAAAAAAAAAAAACTTTTTGAGCTTGGTTTATGTATGTATTTCCCATCTGTTTTGTGAACTTCTGTTTTGTAGGTCTCAAGTGCTCATGCAACAAAAAATGGATCTAAATAAATGGAGTGTCTTTGCTTTGCTATGATGTTGGCTAGAAATATTTTCTTTAGAAGGTCAATTAAATGCACATTCAAGAAGGTCATCTATCTCTTGTCTAGACTTTCTTTTCGTGTTGGTTGGTTATGCTTTTAAAATAAATGCCAGCATATTTTTCATCTGAATCAAGCAACCCCCGTAACTCATGCTAGTCCTCCTAATCAATATTATTTTGGCATTCAGTAGGCTGTGTTGCATGTCAACTAACACTTAATTTAATTTAATTATAAGATTGTTGATTCATACTCATTGGATGTCATAGGTAAAAGAAAAATTATCAAAAATCATCATGGAAATTCAAATCGCGTGCTGCTTGATGATAATCAGTGTTTTTTTTTTTATCCCTGCATCAATTGTAGATGCTGTTTCATGGGACAAGCTGTTACAACTGGTCTTTTACTGTGATATGCTTGCTCATTATTGAAGCTTTCTTCTCATGCTCATATGTGTTTAACATTGTTAAGTCTCTTTCATTATATCGAGACATCTACATTATACATTGAAAGGATTAGAGCATTTAAAGTATAGGCAACACAGTTTATGGTTGCAACTAACATTGATGCTGCTGCTGTCACCAAGTTACAGTTGTAAAGATTAAATATAGCAGATATTCTGGTTTAATGCAATGTTTTCATTCCTGAATTTGTACAAGCTTTTCCTTTTCAGTTCAGACTACATCATCTTCCAAGCAACTTGATGTTATTTGCCAGATTTAATAATAGCTAGTGGATAAATAACTGGGATGTCATATACCACCTTGTAATACATGGTCAAGTGAGGCCTCTCCAAAATTTTCTCAGATGTGAACTTTGTGGTTCTTTTTCAGGTTTTTGTTCTTGTTTCTTTGCTTGCTGCTGCATGCGTGTTTAGATCCTTTTTTATTTCAAACGCTTCAAAAGACCAAACAACTCTATGAAATTTGCTTATAAGCCTTTCCTTCCTCTTGGTTTCAGTTGTAGAAAGTTATCCTGTGGGATGGGTAAAGGTTTTGGCAATGAACAGATGCTGCATTGGAAGGATTCCACCTTGTGAGAGTGGGATTTGCATTCTCAGTCATATTTTTCCTTGCATGCTCTGTCTCTGACAATCTGATGAAAGGAAGCAATCTTTAAAGTAATCGATTTAAAGATAACAATAGACTAGTAATGACTTGAATTTAAATTCCA